AAAAAGGGCAGCCCGGTGCACTAAGCTCCTGCTATGCGCGGGGTTCGGGGAAGGGCCGGACCACAAGGGTCTATTGTACGTAGCCTTACCCTGCATTTCTGCAAGAGGCAGTTTCCACGGCTAGAACCCGTGACCTCCTGATCACATGGCAGCAACTTTACCAGGTGCCTCAAGGCTCCCCGTCCTATCGGAAATGCAAAAGGAAAGCAAAATACTATTTAAAGCTTCATTTAATAAATAAAACCAGTAACTATTGAATAGATAAAAATCACCATCAGGATACATCATTCTATTTTTTTATTTTTATTTTTTTTGATATGGTAACATATGTATATATTAAAAACAGTAGATAGGTTGTATTGAAACCATATTTACAAGAGAGCAAAAATAGAAGACAGTTCAGTAATCCTAGCAGGAGCCTAAAATTTCTATGATTGAGACAGTATCTTCTGTGTAAACCTGTCTATACCAAAAACAAAAAAGCCTAATACATCTTCTAATTTTAATCACTACATAGTTTTTGAGAATGCATCTTGGGGCTAAGATTAAGAATGAGATCTTCGACCACCACGGCTTATAGCCTAGTGGTACCGCTGCAGATCTCCTACACCAAAGTAGGCAAAGGCGAAAAGCACAAGAAGTGCCAAAATCTGTTGGAGCTTTAAATGCAAAGCGCAAATAAAGTGTGGGCTTTAGCGAAGAAAAGCACCATGACGGAAAAGAAAATAGAAATGTAATGCATGAAAATGTAACTATAAACACTAACAATAATTATTTGGACAAAACAATGGAAAAACTATATTTAAGCTATATTTGTATCTGCGTTGTTGTTCCCTAAAGACAAAACTCATCGGTGAAGGTGCACGCGGCTTAGTACCATCATGCCTACACTAAAGGGCCAAATTAAGCAAGGCGAACCGTACAACCTGGGCTTCACTGAGCTTCAGGGCTTAAGCGCGCTTTAAGCAAGCCCTTAACGACACTGTCCAACATAATATATGCTGGTTCAAATCTCTCCATCCCTCTCGATTCCCTAGTCCCTCTATGTATTTAAAAAAATTAAAAGAATGCAAAAATGTGACTAAGGTGTAAAGGAAGAAATAAGACGTAATGAATCAAAAAAACATGTGGATCTTCAAATTCAGATTCAGCACCATCATGGTTTGGGCTATTTATGTGGCTTCTCGTCTTCGTTACTAGTTAGATTTTGAAAGCAATATTTAGTAATGACATGCCAACATTTACAAACTAGAATATTACTAATCAAGCAACACTTATTACAAATATATAGGAGACTACCACATGTTCAATATTTCCTTGTGCGTTTAACATGCAAGTGGGAGAAAGAGAACTTTCTTAGTATTCTATCAGGAAGAAACAGTTTCTTTGTCACAGTCAAACAACTGTGACTGTGAGAATGCAATGGTTGGTATAGATACAGCCACAATAATTATGCCACTAGCAGAGAAATTCTAAAGTGAACAAGAATATATCACCACTTTGTCTGCTCTCTCACAGTGTTGTCAAAGGCGAAAAGCTCTAAAAAGCGTTCCATGTGTATTGGGGCTTTAAGCGCAAAGCACAATTTAAGCGTGGGTTTTAGTAAAAAAGGGGCGGAATGAAGGAAAAAAATAAAAATATATATGTAATTTAAGGAAAAATAACAAATTCATATTGTTTTCCTTAATAACTAATACACTTATTTGTCAATTATATTTGATGTTTAGTACCGTTCGATTCAAGATAGAATTCATGGGCATTGAGTGTGCACGCCTTAGTGCCTTGCCTACACTAAAGCGCAGCTTAAGCGAGGGGAAGCACCCTCCATGAGCTTTTCTGAGCTTCAGGGCTTAAGTGCGCCTTAAATGAGCCTTTGACAACACTGCTCTCTCAATATAAGGAGATAAATCATCATAATTGCAATTTCCAGTGCATAAAAAGTGAAGTCCATATTACCTCTTCATGCTTCTCTCTTGCAGATATGGTTTGCTCTGTTGCTATCTCAACAACAGAGTCCAAATTCAGTTGGCTTGAGGATCTCTCCATCTCCAGCACAGTGATCTGAACAAAAGTTCCGCATTCTGAGAAATACTTAAAAAGAGGAAAAAGGACAAGGTAATCTTATTTATATAGATGACAGGAAGATGAGAAAGAAAGAAAATGAGAGGACACCTTCTCTTGCAGCTGCTTAATCACCAAAATAGCTTCCGACTCTCTCAAAGCTTTGCTTCCATTTAAGTGCATCAAAGAATTGTCGTCTTGCTCAGAACCATCGACCAGATGAATGTCAGCCTCAAAAAGCTTCCTTGTTAGATAGTCAACTTTTACCTCACTCGCGATTTTCTAGCAAAAGATTAAACTAAGAAACCAGGCTGCAGAATCAGAAATAAAAGAAGCAAAGCAAAAGAACTTACATGTGATTCAAATTTTAAAAGCAACTCCTCATACTCCCTTTGAAGTTCCGATAATTCATTGTCTTCCTGCCAGGATTTTAAAAAATAAGATAATCAGTGGTATAATACTATTTTGAAAGAAAGTTCAAATAGCGGAGTGATGTGAGAACCATTGAGGAGCTTTTTTTTCTAGAGGCTCCTTTTCTCCTGCTAGTCACATGCAACAAAGCCCGCGGGCCAGGGAGAGTACAGTCTTCCAATTGATTACTCCTTGAATTGTCATCTTGCTTGACAGAGTCTCCAATGCTGTCAGCATCTAATAGTTCTTCAAAAGGAAGTAGGGGTCCAATGTCACGTTCTATCCTTTTGGCTTCGACTACAGAAGTTTCCTCTGTGACTGCGGAGTTCAACTGAAGCAGGAGAGAATAAAATATTTAGTTTCCCTGTGCATAGGTAAAGCCTGCTTCACGAGATCATTGAACTTTGATAAACTCAATGAACACTGAAACTAATAACAATGAGAAGAAAAACCTCAATGTCAATTATATAAGAAATAAACATCTGATTATTTTCTTTTCTTTTTTTGGGTGGAGATGGAGGGATGATGATAACAAGGAGACCTCAACTGATAACTAAGAAAAGTTAAACTATAATTACAGAAAACTAAGGATGCAGATATACTCCTTTAGGACTATGACTATCTCAACCCTACTTTGCTGTTCTTGGCACATCCCCAGCTTTAGATGGTCATGCTTCAATCACAGAAAGTAATGCCCAAACTTGTTCTGAAGATTCAGAAATTAATATGTAAAAAGCAGAACAGCAGTCCCTAAAAGAGATAAATATAAAGAAAGATTATAGGAGTCGATTACAGTGAGATAGATATAGTTGGCTTTGTTGCTATCAAAGCATAGCATTCTATGGACTCTTTTCCATGTCCAGAAATGGTATGTCAACAAATACCTTTTCTCAGTGATACAGAAAGCTTGAAGTGTAAAACAAAATCATATTTAAAAAGTTTTCATCTTTAGGGAAAAGAAATTTTCGGTCTTCCCAGATGATGCGAACATCTATTTTTTTAAAACTAAAATACTTAGTATACAATTGAAGGGCATACTATCATAGTGGGTGCAATTTAATACTTGTAACTCATGCAATTAACTTTGCCACTTTTCTCTTCCGACATTGACATTCTCCTGCTTCACTACGAGTCATGCCGAACTCCCGGATAACTGTGTTGAACTTACCAAACCAGGCTCGAGGAGACTGTTTTAGATCATAAAATGACCGGCGCAAGCGACATACAAGGCCACTAGACTCTCCCTGAGCAACAAAACCAAGTGGTTGCTTCATATAAACTTCATCCTCAAGATCACCGCAAAGAAAAGCATTCTTAATGTTCACCTGATAGAGAGAGGCCAATGGCAAACAACAGCCATGGATGGAAAAAGGCAGATTGATGCTATTTTAGCCACCGGAGAGAAAGTATTATTGTAATCGAGCCCAAATATCTGAGTATATTCTTTGGCAATAAGACGGGCCTTAAGTCGATCAACCTGGCCATCCGGACCAACTTTAACTGCATAAACCCAACGACAACTAACAGATGATTTACCTGAAGGAAGAGAACAAGCTCCCAAGTACCAGTCGTATGTAAAGCAGACATCTCATCAATCATAGCATGTCGCCATCCTGAGACAGTTTCACCTATAGACTTAGGGATGGAAACAGAGGAAAAATAAGATACAAAAGCATAATGGGGTGATGACAGACGATCATAGTATATAAGGTACGAGCCTTTTCCAAAACTGAATGACATGTCTGGAAGAGACGAAACAAAGGCATCAACTTGGAATCAATGGATCGCCACAAGATATTACATGCTGAGCATCAATCTTCTCCCAAAGTGCTTTAGCCTTTTCATCTCCCTCACTAGCCTTTTTGGTTATGTGGTCTTAAACACCTTGACCATTACACCACAACTCGACAGACGAAGCCCAAGATAAATAATTTGAACTCCCAAGTAGGGGTTCAGAAATAATCATGAAGGTTGAATTTGCAGAACCCATGCTTTTAGAACAAAAAACATCAAATCCTAAAGATATGTTAGATTGAAGAAAGGTTTATTACCATGTAACTCACAAAAGTTGTAGCTTGGTAAAAGAAAAAAAGTTGTCGGAACAGACGTCGGAAACAACAAATAGAACGCCACAAAATAAAGTCACCGGAATTAGGTTTAAACTTAATGGGTCGAGTCGGAAGAGCATTGCGACCAAGCTGTCCTGAAGGTCGGCCAAAAAATGGCCGGAAGAGGTCCCATGGGCCGGCGCGTGGAATAGATTTCGCTGGGAAAAAAAATACTCCGATCAGTGCGTGAGNAGGCCGCCATGGGGCGCGGCCAAGGGGTCATGGGGCATGTCTGGAAAGCAGCCCATGACAGAACGCGTAGAGCCTCTGTTAGCGGAGATTCTTTTTCGGGTTTGGTCGCCGAGGGTTGGGGGACCTAGTGGTGGTGTTGCTTTTTGCACAACACCACCAAAATTTGATTTTGACAATCGCCTGAATTGAAGCACGCCAACTGTTTTGGCTGGGTTTTCTTTCCCGAATGTTTTCTCACTGCCGATCTGATTCCATGTGAGAAATGGCATACGGAAAAAATATTATTGATGTATTAACAATGATACAATGAGCCCTATACATAATACATTTACTCCAACTATATATGGGACTAACACTAATTACACATACACATATTCCAACATATATGTTGGGCTCTAAAGTGTGCAAGGACAATATTTTGCAAGTTCAAAGGGATATGCATCAACCCATTAAATTTTGGCATAATTGCTACTGAAAACTACAATATACTTGAAGTTCCCTTATTGCCATTGTATTCAACTAGGCTTTCATTTTCAGTAGTCTTAGTTCAACTAGGCTTTCATTTTCAGTAGTCTTAGTTCAACTAGGCTTTCATTTTCAGTAGTCTTAGTTCAACTAGGCTTTCATTTTCAGTAGTCTTAGTTCAACTAGGCTTTCATTTCCAGTAGTCTTGAGATAGTTCCTCCAACTCCACGAGTACACCATACATCATTTTATTAACTAGGGACAATTTCAAAGATTTTCTCTGGGTTTCGCTTCGTAACATTAATGTCCTTGTAGTTTACGATATTACACTTAGCTTCCTTGTTTTGGTTTTCTATAAGTTGTAACAGTTTTTAACGTCTTTATTATTAATAAAAAAGAATTACATTTTGACAGATTTGCCCTTTTATAATATTAAACTTTTCTAACTAATTAATTTTATCAAAATGTCTTCTTTAGCACATTCTTTAATAATAAAACACGCGATTCCTTGGCTTCAAAAGTCATTTTCTTGGTTTCAAACAGCGTCGGCGCGTGGTGGAGGGCTCGCCGGAGCTTGGCCGCGCGTGGCGGCGCGTGTAAGGGTCTTTGCCGGAGCTGTTTTCAGGGATAGGCTCGCGTCACTGGTGGCTCTCCGATGGTGTTTGTAGAAACTCAGGATTCCGGGTTCTCAAGCTCCTCGGGGAGTGTGCCTGAGAGCATCTGTATGTAGAGAGTATCTGTATTTTCCAATTACAACACTTTAATATCAGAAAAGAGAACAACAACAACAACAAACCCAGTTTGATCTCAACAGGTGGGGTCTGGGGAGGGTAGTCTATACGCAGACCTTACCCTTACCTAATGCAGGTAGAGAGGCTGTTTCCAATAGACCCTCGGCGCAGGAAGGGCAAGAAGAAGAAGAGGAAAGCAAGGAAGGAAGAAAGATGGAAGAGAAAAGAAAAAGGGAGAGATAAAGGATAAGTGGTAATATCAGAAAAGAGAAAACTAGTCAAATTGCAACTACTTTACATTAAGGATAAATATGTCCAAAAAAATTACAAAAAAAATCAAAACAAAAGAGGCAAGCATAATATCATAAACCACAATGTTAGTGTTAAGAAGAGAAACTTAGAGGGAGGGCTCTGAAATTATCCCTATCAGTTATTATTTCATCACACTTGGCTAAATTTTTATAAATGAATTGCATTTTTATCATTAAAGAATGTGATAAAGAAGATATTCTATAAAATTAATTAATTAGAACAGTTTAATAATGATAAATATGTCAAGAATTGTTATAAAAAAGTTAGAGAAAAGGGAGGTAAGCTTAATATTGTAAACCACAACGCAGGTTAGTGCTACGAAGCGAAACCTTGAGGGAAGTCTCTGAAATTATCCCAATCAATTATTATAAATGTTTAGTACATAATAGTTGGCTTACTTTTTAGTTTTCTCGAATCTCATTGACTTGTATGCTCAAGTACTTTCACTGAAACTAGTATATATTCAAGCGAGCTTTCTGAATAAACACTGCAGTTGATAGAGCATTAAAACATCCCTTTGAATTGAGTGTCAACCATCCTTAATGAGTTTTTGCACGGTGTCCTAACAATATGATGACCATTAAAACCAACTTATCTAACTGATGCACTTAAACACAAATTAGCAACAAATTTCTCCAGTACTCTAAGGCAAGTCGATTCATACACCAAGAACACTATTGATGCAGATTCATAGTACTAATAAAATGCATCTTTGGATGCAGCATTGCACAAATATGGTCAATAATAATCTACTGCTCCTATTTACACGACAAAAGATAATGTATGGTAATGCTACCAACGGAAATCAAATCTCACCTCCTTCAAAGCCTCCCTTGAAACGTTACCTGGGCAGCATGTATACCGCCGTTTATCCTAGAATGCAGAAGATATAACATCAAATTAATCACAAGAGAATGGAAATAAAAGAAAGCTAAGGGTAGAAGACCAAATCAAATGCTAATGAGTGATGTATGTCATATTGCCTTCATTGACTAAGATTACATAAGCAATTTTTCCAGAAATGCAAAGAGGCCTATTTTAGGAATTGGTAGCAGATTTTGAATTTTCTCCTCAAACAGAAAATTTGTTATGCCCCTGGGCATTCTTCCAAGGAAGGACTACCAATCCTTAAGAATTTATTGGATTCACCCAAAAAATCTAGCATAGAGCAAAGCCACTACTTTAAACAATAATCCCAAATGAGCTCAAATTTTTGTTTTGCATAAACTAGCTGGAAGGTCTCAGACTCACGTACGAGGTGAAGAGGGAGTTAGCTGAGTTAGCATAAAATACTAACTTAAAACTTTAAATTTATTTTTTTGCTTGGGCACGAAAAAGTTGTATGCCATAAAAAGTTGAACTCCGTGTGACAAAAGATGTATCACTTGCATACTTTTGCCCTGGACCTGGATGCCTTACGGTAACCAGGCCTCACCTCGCCTTGCGACGCACCTTGGAAGGGGTAATTTTTGAAACATTGCTTTGAAATAACAAAACTTCCCAACTAATATATGTTTTTACCAATATTTAAGCAGAAGCAGTAGACCAATTAGTTTCAGGGCAAATCTATTGGTTTTTAGAGCTTAAAGAATGAAAATTGCAAGTTACCTATCCCCAAAAGGGATAAAAAAGAGCATCTGGTCAGGCTCATTAATTAGTAGAGGTGCAGGCTCATTATCCACCGAGCTTCAAATCGTGCTGCTAACTGGCCTCGAGGATTTATCGATTTTTCAAAAAGAGTTCTTTGGACTTGCTACCATAATAGACCAGATGCTGCAATTAAATCTGGTCAAAATCTAAGGCCGCATTGGGTAATTAAAGAATATGGCAAGACTTGTGAGGCTAGAGAAAGAGGGCAAAAGAGTATCCTCTTGTTAATCTGGAGTTGCATGTAGGCAATGGCAATTCATGTGACTAGGATTGAAAGAGAATGTAAAGCTCTTGAGCAACGAGAAAGCTTAATGTCAGAATTCTTACATCTTGGGCAATCCTCACCTCATGAGCTAGCTTTTAGGGTTGAGTTAGGTCCAAGGTTCATTTCTTATCTTGGTATAAAAACCACACCCATCCCAATTCTTGGTACCCGATGATGGACCCACATTATGTTGTCCATACTCCAGTTGGTAGGCCTGGACGTGCGGGGGTGTCAGAATTCTTGTATTGGTTGTGGATAGGTGATTGGTGATTTGGCCTCTTTATATGTTTTTGGGCAATTCTCACTTCATGAGTTAGCTTTTGAAGTTGAGTTAGGCTTAATGTGTCCATTTCCTATCACTTACTATATTGGACTGGAGGCAGAATCAAGGGAGTACCGATAAACAATAGAGAAAGTGTCCAAGGAAATCACATCTAGGATTCAAGGGATCATAGAAGGTAAAAGAAAAAGAACTAGGAACCCAATTACCTGATAAAAGAGATGGAAAAAGGACTTCTGTACTGAAAAAAATAATTTAGTTGCTTTTAGAAGTCTTTGCTCTACAGTAAATTAGGTGAAGTTCCAGCAATATGTTAAAAATTGAATTGTATTTGTCAATTTCACACAGCGAAGCACTACCAACTTGTTGAAATTACACTCTTAAATAGTAGTGCTTCTAGGAAGGATTCAAAAGCAAGTAAAGCAATGAAAAGATTGAAATCCACTAATTTACCTTTTTATAGGTATCACGACCCTCATCCCTATTTGAGCATAGCACCATAGAACTCAAGTTCTCAATTTTCTTGGCTTGCTCTTGTAACCTCTTCTCCCTTTCAACTTGAGCTTTCTTTTCCTCCTCCAACTCTAACGCAATTCGTTCCCGCTCCAATTCACTCTGTTAAATATGTTACACCTTTGAGACTCATAAAATTGCCAAAGCAACTATGAAGTAATCATCACAAACCTTCAGTAAAGTGTTCCGAAGATTCAATATTTCTTCATCAGGATGTTCTGAATGTGATGCCTTCAATGGTTTAAAAAACATAGGTTGGTCAACATATCAATGCAACCACTTCAAAATAACAAACAGGCGTGACTGCTTGCACAAACCTGCAATTTTGATCGCAGCTCCTCAATCTCCTTCTTTTGACGCTTGAGCAACGCAGCATCAGTCAGTATCTGGTATCAAATACAGATAAGTTAAGATGCAATAAAAACAGGCATCATATAAAGGTAAATAGAAAGTGCAAACCAGAAGCAACTCAGACTAACAGCAGACATGAGAAAGAGGCATAAAGAAAGATTAAGTGATGACTTGCTTTCTGGTGCATGAATTAGACATGCACTTCGTGAATTCCATATGAAAATTGTTTGAAGTAATGAAAAAATATTATAAAGTGCAGAATGCAGTAAAATATCCAACCTCATTCACGTGAACACAATTTGTAACCCGCAATGCCCTGCTTGCAAATTGAAGACTACTTTTAGTCTCATCAGCATGAATCTGGCATCAAGGAAAAAATGCATTATCAAAATAGCATCAAGCAGAAAGCCCCACAAGAAAACCAAAGGCAGAAAAAAGGAAGAAAGAAAGAAGAATCATAGACACATGGTCATCCAAGCATTATATGATCCACGAGCACAATATGTGATGAAAAGAAAGTTCTGCCGGTAACACACTATATTTCTAAAAGGTGGTCCCGTTGCATATATATGAGAGAAGACAAAGAATGACCCTGTAAAGTATAGAGACAATAGAGAAATCTCTCTTGTGTTGTATTCAAGAAATAACAAGTATATATACAAGTACATAGAGCCTTAACTATAGAAAGAATCAAAAAGGAAATCCTATAAATCTGCTGTGAATCCCTATAATTATGCTAGCTATGTATATTACATAAGATTATGTCTACATTCAGATTATGTCTACGTTCATTATCTAACACCCCCCTCAAGCTGGAGCATAGATATTGATCATGCCCAGCTTGTTACAAAGGTAATCAACTCGAATTCCATTCAACGCCTTTGTGAACAAATCAGCCGGTTGCTCTCCTGTCTTCACGTAGCCAGTGGAGATCAAGTTCTCCTGAATCTTCTCACGAATAAAATGGCAGCCAACCTCAATATGCTTAGTTCTTTCATGATACACCGGATTTGACGCAATATGGAGGGCGGCTTGATTGTCACACCAGAGTTTTGCTGGTATTGGATGCTCTAACCCAATTTCAGTCAACAGATGATGTATCCACATAATCTCACATGTAGACTGTGACATAGCTCTATACTCGGATTCTGCACTAGATCGAGATACAACACTTTGCTTCTTACTCCTCCATGATACCAAGTTTCCTCCAACAAAGACACAATAACCTGTAGTAGATCTTCTATCAATTTTCGATCCAGCCCAGTCAGCATCTGCAAAACACTCAATACGAGTATGATTGTGATTGCTATATAATATGCCAAGTCCAGGAGCTCCTTTCAAGTAACACAAAATCTGTTCCAAAGTTGCC